GAGATCTTTCGTGTCTGACGTATTTCACTCAGCTTATCCATGTGGTAATATGGATGGAGATTCCGACCCTCTTTCTGGCTGAGGGATATTCCCCTTGGATGGAGGGACCACACTGTATTACCCGCCCCTCCACTAACAGACATGTGACAGTTCCCACCTCTTGGCTGTTGGGACTGCCATGTATGACTCCATGACTTTAGAGCATTCAGCGTGCCCGTCGTGACCAGATGGCCACAGCGCTTGCCTCTGTGGGTCTCTGCTCGGCACCAAGGGGACACTCCCTGGTGTCTGTGTCTTGCATAAAGTTTCTGAGCTCGGGCCCAGTGTATGATGCTCCTGAACCCCAGCACACATGGAGAAACGTATCCAATGGTATCAGCTGCCTGGAGGCGGGTCTTACTCCAGGGCCAATTGTCAGGCATTTCTTCCACTTTACCTCTGGGTAGATTCGCAACACCAACCTTGTGGCACAGGCTGCTGGCCAAGGACCCCTGGCCTTCCTTGGAAGGTCCGGCCTCAGCTCCTGGCCTCTCTTGCAGGTACAAAGATTACCGAGAACCCCCGTGGTCCAACCACAAGTACGACATCTCCAAGGACTTCTGGGCAGTGCTTGCGGCCAGGCTGGCCTTCGTCATCGTCTTTCAGGTGCAGCGGGGAGGCGGGGTCTGGAGGGAGCTCTGGGTCCAGAGCTGGGTCAGGATTGAGAGAGGGGGGCAGTGCGGAGGACCCAGTCAGCAAGAGGAGCCCGAGCTCATGGGTACCCTCTATCAAGTAATCTTCACCACAGGTTTCACTACAGATGAGTAAGCACGAGTAAGCTTGTGTTTACCTTGCCCACTGGCTCCTCCATCCCTGTCCAGGGTTGCCCATTTGAAAAGAGGCTTTGATTGATTGATTTTGTAGGAATGGGTTTGGCAGAGAGACATGGGCCAGTCAGACCTAGATGCGGAATCTTTGATGGGGTGAAAACATATGAAACTATTCACTGTAGATTAGCAGATGAACACAAGTCAGTCCCTGCTTGCTTTGTTTATTGGACATGACAAAGCTGCTCAGAATGCAATCCCCAGCCTGAGCAGAACGGGAGGGTGGGCCTGGAGAACTTGCTCTGGGTTCCTGAGAAGCGTGGGCTGACCCTGGCCCTGTATGGGAGGAAAGGGGGCAAGGAAAGGCATTGGGGGGTCGAGGCTGAGGAAGGGGAGCTGGACTCATTCAGGGAGGTCCGAAAACCCAGTCGACTCCATCTCATGGCAACCCATGAGTGTCAGAGTAGAACTGTGCCCCACAGGGTTTTCAGTGGCTGAGTTTTCAGAAGCAGATCGCCAGGACTTTATAATGAGGTCACAACACAGGCGCTGCCTCAGCTGACATTGCTGGAATGCCTCAATGCATGGGTTTCCGCAGAGCAGCGTGGTTCAGGGTGTTCAGTTAGCAGTCCACTTAGCTTGCATTTTACCCGCCAGAAATTTCTCCAGGGAGGCAGTGGGGTTTTCACTGGAAGGGGCAGAGGGGCTGCTGAATGATCCGAATTACATTCCACCCATCTGGGTGTTGTCCACATTTTCAGTATCTCCTGTGGAGCCTTCATAATCGCTGTTGTCAGGAAATCCAATCATTTCCTAAGTCTCACAGGCAGAGAGTTCAAAATTACTCAGAGAATTTCCCTTTTTATAGGGTTCAGATTCCGCCAAGAGAATCCCTAGGTGGCATGGTAAAATTCTCGACTAATAGCCAAAAGGTTGGTGGTTTCAAACCCACCCCCCACCCCCCCACCCCACCCCGAGGTACCTTGGAAGAAAGGGCTGGCCACCTTGAGACCCCTAGGGAGCACATTTCTGCTCTGCACACGTGGGGTCACTATGAGTCGGAATTGACTCAGTGGCGGAACTATTCTTCCAAGAAACTCAGCACAGGTTCCCAGAAGGTTAACTGGGTGTTTCACGGCTCTCTTAGACCTTCTGGAGTCCCTGAGTGATTACAGTTAATGCGCTTGGCTGCTCATCCAAAGGTTGGAGGTTCAAGTTCACCTACAGATGATTCAGAAGAAAGGTCTGGCAATCTAATTCTGAGAGAGGAAAAAAAAAAAAAAACAGTCATTGAAAGTGCTATGGAAAGTTCTACTCTGACACACCTGGGGGCACATGAGTCAACGTTCACTCGGTAGGAGTATGGCTATCTGTGGAGTCCTGATGGTACAAATGGTCAGCACACTTGGCGGCTAACTAAGTGGTTGGAGGTTTGAGTCTGTCCAAAGGCACCTCAGAGTAAAGACCTGGAGATCGACTTCAGAAAAAATCAGCCACTGAGCTGAGTTGTACTCAGGCATACACGAGGGTGCCCTGAGTCAGAGTCCACAAGGGGATAGCAATGGTTGGTTAGACTTTTGGGGAAACCAGGGCCCAGAGAGGCGACGTGGATCTTCCTAGAGCGTAGGGCTAGGGGACGGCGGGGCAGCGCTGCCAGGTGGCATGCAGGGAGGATGCTCTACGTCTTTCCCCCTTCCCAGCCCCCACAAGTCAACTCTTCATTACAGAACCTGGTGATGTTCATGAGCGACTTCGTGGACTGGGTCATCCCGGACATCCCTAAGGACATCAGCCTGCAAATCCACAAGGAGAAGGTGCTCATGGTAGAGTTGTTTATGAGAGAAGAACAGGACAAGCAGCAACTGCTGGACACGTGGATGGAGAAGGACCGCAAGAGGGAGGAGCTGTGTAATAACCACACCCCCAAAGCCAGCCCGGACAGCCCTGCCTACCACGGGGGCGCCCTGTAGCTGCCGGCCAGCGGCCAGGCCAGCCGGGCACCCTTCTCAGGGCCAAGCCGGTGTTTGCTAAACACATGGAGAGGGACCTCTTTCCAATAGGATGACATTTCTCTTGTCTGTTTTTTTTTTTTAATTGTTCCTTTTCTTTTTTTTTCCTTGTTTTTTGCACAAAACCATTACACAGGGAGTTTATCATTAATGTTCAAGGTGATAAGACTTGCTGACCTGTGGCAGGCTGATAAGGCTTCGTGGACATGGGCGCTTTGCAGAAACAATTCTTAGAAAATGGGGGGCAGGGTGTCTCCTCTGCATTGAAATCATTGACTGATCCTCCTGATGCCCCCAAATAGAAACCAGGTGGGATATCAAGGCACTCAGCAAGATCAGGCGGTACATTTGAAGGCAAAAGGAGGAACTGATGAGGAATAAATGAAGCTGGTGTCTGCCTCTCTGTCTGGAAATTTCAGACTTTTAGTGAACTTTCCCTTCCCAGAAGTTCAGAAGCTGAGACCCAGGTTCAGAGACAAAAGTATCCTTGTCCTGTCCAACAGAAGGCACAGCAGTTCTTGGGGGGCTACTGGGGTTCATTATTAAGAGGGTCACCTGCACCCTTGGTATCCCCATGCCTCCCACCCACCAACCCCAGCACTGACCAAACCTTAGAACTATTCATGGTCGCTGTGTGATCAGACAGGTTGACAGGAAAATGCAGCAATCGAGGTTTTGGTGACATTTCCAAAGATGACTTAAGGATTTCAAGCAGTCTTAAGACACCCAGGGTTGAGGAGGTGGGCGGGGGCGGGAGTATTTCACAGCATTAGATATTTATTGATTTCTTTTTTTTTAAATCAATGTTGTGGGGGTGTTGAGGGTTTGGTTTGGGGGGTTGTTTGGGGTTTTTTTTATATATATAGCTTAAAGGTGGAAGGAGTTTATTAGTTAACCAAATATCACTGAGAGGAATTTGAAATACTGTTCCTACCAAAGATTTTTATTACCAAAGCCTTCTATTTTGGTACCTCTTCTATATATTTTTACTTACAGCAGTGTCACTGTGGGTGGGGCAATTATCCTTTTAAAAAGTTAGAAGCACAAGTCCCCCTAAATGATGAGCGATCTAAATTGGCAGTGATTGTACGAACCCACTAGCTGAGCTTCCTCAGACACCAAGGAAAAAAAAACCAAGAGGTATTTCTCCAAAGGGGGAAAACCCACCTGTACTCATCTGTTTGTCTTGAAACATGTGGAGTGCTTGCGATGTTGCCCATCCCAATACCGGCACACTCCGCCTCACGTCCATAGGTGTCCTAAATCTTCGTTCTTTGCTCAAATCATTCGATCTGATGCTTCGCTTCTCTCTTGTACAGTCAGTGCTTTGAAATGGGGGGTTTTTTGTATATAAAATAATATTGTATTAAGAATTTGACGATTAGAAAAATTCCTTTTATGGAAGCCATTTTTTTAAAAGTAAATGGGCACCAACCCGCAGGGCGCTGCAGCCGAATGTTCATGGAAATAAATTTGAATACACAACACACTTTTCTTGGATGCTGTGTGCTGAAACTTTTGCTTGCAGGAACACGAGAGCCCTCCTCCCTACACAGAGCCCTCCCAGATCACAGGCAGGCATCTGCTTCCTTTAGTGCCTGGCACATGGATGGTTCCAGATACTCCTAGGACTACATCGCTCTGTGAGTGTGTGAGGGTCTGTGTGTGCATGTGTGTGGGCTTGTGTGTGCATATTCTGCACGTAAATGTGCTCATTGCATGCCAGTGTGCACATGTGTATGTGTGCGCTGCTGTTTGTATATGGTTGTGTGGGGGGCATGTGCACTGATTTTTTTTGTATGTGCATATACACACACATGTATATGTTCGCTTGTGTGTGCACACCTATATGGGTCTGATTACATACGTGGGCACTCTGCATATGCTTGTCTGTGCATGTGTGTGTGTGGTGTGTCATGTGTTATATGTGTGATTGTGTGTGCATGCCTGTGTGTGTGGGTGTGGATGTAGTGTGTGTGCACAGTGTGTGTGGGCATACAGTGTGTGTGCATGTGTGGGTGTGTGTTGGGGAGGGGTTGAGGTCATGCATTCTCCTAACAACCTCTTCCAGAATCCTCAAACCTTGACCCCTGTTCCCTTCGCGGGCCTCAAATTTCCCTGAAACGTTCTGGGGACCAGGTTAGGGTTTCCTGTGTCTTCGTTTAAGCAGCCACCTAGAATCCCTGTAGTTTCAGAAAAGACAGGATTCTTCTGACAACAAACACCTCCATAAAGCCGTGTGGGCCTTCAGCCCATGCGTGTCAGTGAGGCCTCACTTCAGGCCACCAGCAGTCCGCAAGTGCCTCTAGTGCCCACCTTCTCTGCACCCCAAAAAACCTCCACCCCCCACAACCCCCAGCTCCTCACAGTGCCCTGAGTGTCCCATGCTGACGGTGTGGCACTGGGGGTTAACGTACTGGACTGCAAAGTCGGGTTAAGCCACAAGCTAAGCAGTTCAAGCTTACCAGCCACTCCTCAAAAACCCTATACAGGGTCACTATGGATCAGAACTTCTTCCCTAGTCCTGTGAGGGCTCTAGGGAACAGTTCTACCCTGCCACACGTGTGTCTCCTGAGTCACCATTCAATGACCCAGTGGCAAAGCTCTGAGCCACCTCCTTAGTCCTGTCAGGACCAGCCTCAGGGACCTGCGAGGTTAGGGTGGGCATCATTCCCCTCTGATAGACGAGGACACAGGCTCAGAGGAGACATGACTTGCCCAAGACAGCAGGTTTGTCAGCACCTAGCCAACACTGGAGCCCTTGCAGACGCCCACCTGTCTGTACTTAGGAAGAACCGAAGTGCCTGCTTCATATCAGACGTCGGAGGAGGGGGACAGGGAGCAGTGCATACAGCAGTCAGACGCTGAGCCGGAAATGGACCTAGGAGCCTTTCAGAGGAAGTAAGGGGTGCTAGCAAAAACATACCAGTGGTATGACCAAAAGGGAAGCCCCTAGAGGCCTGGACAATGAGTGGACAGAAACGTAAAACCCTGCAGGCACACGGGACGTGCAAAGACCCCGAGGCAGCAGTGTGTCTGGTGAGCTGTGGAAAGTGTCCCTGGACTGGAGAGGGCTCACAGCAGAGGAGAGAGGCAGGGTTTACACTGGCTGATTTTGAGAAGCAGCTCACCAGGCCTTTGTGCCTGGTGTTAGTCTGGAAGTTGCTCAGAAACCTGGTTGGCACCACAGCAGTGTGCAAGCCCCCCTGGACAGAGGGAAGGTGCAGCATGTTGAGTTGCACCAGCCAGAAATCAAACCCAGGTTTCCCGCATGGAGGACTAGAATTGTACCACTCACCCACCAATGCCAGAGACCTCCGTGTGGAGCAGAGTAGAACTGCACCATGGGCTTCTGCCTGCAGTCTACAGAAGCAGTTCACCAGGCCTTTGTCCCTTGGCAGTACTGAATGGGTTCAAATCATCAATATTTAGGTGAGTAGCGCAGGGGTGGGATGATCTACATTATAGCCACCCATAGGACTTGCAGTGGAGCGGACGGTGGGTTGCAGAAGCCCAGGTGATCTAGGATGAACTGGGATGAAGGTGGCAGAACCAGCATCACAATGTCCAAGGGCCCCAAGGATCCACCCAAGGCTGTCATTTCACAGTCAGACACAGCAAGGCTCAGAGAGGGCTGAGACTTGGCTATGGTCACACAGCATCATCCTGACACCCAGACACCCAGCACTGAAAGGTGGAGCCAGGTGGGCACTGCAGTAGCCCATGGTGTGGAGCCCACCAGAAGTTCTGTCCTCAGAAGTGGTTAGCCCCAGATGGAGGGTAGCCTCCTTGACAATGGCATCATATTTTGATAATTTTGTCTAATTAAGGTAGCTATGATTTTGTGATAATACTTTTAACTTGTCCTGGGCTGTGTGTGTGTATGTGTATTTGTTGGTCCTAGGTGCCCTTGAGTCCTTTCTGACTCTTAGCCCCCTATGTAGGACTTCTGAGGAGTGGCTGGTGGGTTTGAACCGCCAACCTTGCAGTTAGCAATCCAGTGCTTACCCTACAGTGCCGCACCAAAGCACATATATATATATTATTGTTACGTGTCATCAAGTCAGTTCCGAATCGTGAAGACCCTATATAGGGTTTCCGAGTAGCAGCTGATGGGTTTGAACTGCCGACCTTGTGGTTAGCAGTGCAGTGCTTATCCTACAACACACCAGAAGTGTATATATATATATATATATACACACAGATTCCTGGTAGTGTGGCATATAATCTGTGTGTGTGTGTGTGTAGTTGTGTGCCATCGAGTCAGCTCCAACCCATAGCAATCCTGGATGCAGTTTCCAAGGCTGTAAATCTTTATGAGAGCAGAAAGCCTCATCTTTCTCTCATGAAGCAACTGGTAGATTTAAACAGCCCAACACATAACCCACTACACCACCACGGCTCCATATATACACATACATATATGTGTCTTTGAAGTAGTCCGATTTCTTCTTAGAAGCAAGAATGACAAGATTTCAACGCTCATACTTTGGACATGTGATCAGGAAAGACCTGTCTCTGGAGAAGGACATCATGCTTGGTAAAGTGAAGGGTCAGCAAGAAAGAGGAAGCCCCTCCACAAGGTGGACTGCCACAGTGGTGCCCCTTGTGGGGTTCTGCTGCCTGCCCAAGATAACATCTATTGGGTGGGTGCTATAATTAAGCTGTTGGCCTGGTTACTGCAAGGTGAGCAGTTGAAACCCACTAATAGCTTGTTGCTCAGTAGTGCCAGCGGCTTCCTTCTTCCTTTCTCTGACTCTGCAGTCAGCCCTCGTGCTGAGCTGCAACGAATCACCTCCTGGCGAAGCCAAGTAGCATCTGGAGACCGTGGTCACTTTGCAAACATTCACCGCTGGGAAAAATGGTTGAAGCCCACCACCCTGGAAAGTTCTTCATTGGAGGGCTCAATACAGAAACCAACGAGAAAGCCCTGGAGGCAGTATTTGGCAAATATGGACGGATTATCAAAGTACTGTTGATGGAAGACCGTGAAAC